TGATCTATTTCTCCTGTACGAGATACAATGAAGTTTGTAAAGACACGATAGTCAAAAGCTGCTGATTGGCTGGATGCTGATGATGCAATATCCCAATACAAGGGTTAGGATTCAATATAATATGCTATGTTGCAATAACAACAAGCTACAAGCAAGTTATTTGATTGGACAGAAGGTATTCCTTGAGTGCTGATGCAGAGTAAAACAGCACTGAGACTTCTACCTAGCACTTGATTTTTGAAAAGTGCTCTATAAAAAAGGTTATCATTCTACCTTTATATATCACTCAACGTCAGGTGTTCTGAGTGCTAGAAATTCATGTATAGCAAAGGTCAACAGACTCTTATTTCACTGCTTGCTTGATTAATGGACACATAGGTATAAATGTGCATTACATGCAGGTCAGTGTTAACTTGTAGTAACAGTGCTGTAAGGTTTCTGTTGCTTGGCAACATCCCACTTTTAGTTAAGTTACTGAGGTTGTGTTTGAAGATTATTAATTAATTATTAATAATGACTATTAAGCTTTGTTGTCTACAAAAAATATATCTAGATGCAGGTGCAGCTAGCAAACTTCTTTTAGTCATCGCCTCTCAACTCTAACTATTGTCTTGCTTCTTAAGTTGCTAGCTGGACTGTAAATAATGGCAGTGCACAGGAAAAAAGTTTGTGCTTGAAGTCCTTTAATGGCATCTCTTAGCATAGCAAATCTCCAAACAGCTGGCCATTGTTGCCAACAATAGCTGATGGGTTCTGAGATTGTGTATAAATTGATGTGCTACCTCTTTTTGTCTCAGTTTAAGATGTTCTGTTGTAGTCGATTACCTGAAAATATAACACTGCCCTCTAGTGGTTGGAGGTTTAAACAAAAGACAAACCCTGAACAAAAAGTAATTTGGGAATCAATATACTATGACAAAACATTGTTAGACCAATAATAACCTGTTGTGTCCTTATGAATGCCAATGTGACTCCATCAGTAACATTCTTCATTCAATCTTGGTACTTTGAGTCTACGCGTCCATGTCAGTGCAAGTAGCTTCAGCATCTAGAGTTACTTTGCAGACATCTGAGAAATGTTTCTAAATTGCAGTCAATGACAGTAGAAGCCCACAGGTTTGTCTAGACTGCCAGAGGAATGTGTTGAGTCTCCACATGCGGTGGTGCACAAGAGAGCCGTTGTCTTTCTAGGCTCTTCGACAGCGTGCGACATCGAGCTGCACAATAAAAAGGTCCTTCAGCTGCAACAAAGCACTTTGCATGCATACTTTAATCCATATATTATTAAACACAAGAGCACTTAACCTTACTGACTAACTCATCAATCCAAGGCTCATTTGTTTAGTTTCTAACTGAACATATTAATTTAGGGAATAAATAACTCTGCAATACTACATTCCTCATTTCAACTTAATCCATTTTTAAGCCTTAAAACAATATTCCAGCCCAAAGCACATAAGTATTAACCCTACAGTGTGTGTACACTGAGGACAAATGGATCAGGAAGTTGCCAATATTTATAAAGTAATTTTCTCCTCAAAATGAGTCATCCAGCTATTATCTGTTGGCTACTCACCGACAGGAGTTAGCCAGACTGAGCTACTGAGCCTGTATGGATGTTTATTTCATCTCATCTGCAGGTCAAAGTGTATCAGTTAGCTGAGAGCAAGCGTTTGTCTAAAGCAGCAGGAGTTTCAGGCTGACCTGTGTCCTCAGACATACCTCACATCAGTAAGAAGAGTCAAATAATACAACACAAAAATTACACCAGCAGAATCCATTTGAAGCAGCGCATCAAAAACCATCCGTCAAATCTGTTTGAACCATGAATCAGTGTATTTAAACATCTTTTAATGTAGTAAAATATCTTTGCTTCTCCCTCTTACCTATTTGAAACCCCAGATATTTGCAGAGTGAAACAGAAGGGGTTGCTATCTATCTTGATTTCCCTCTGCTAAAGTCATTACGTCATTTTCGATGGTAGCTTTATCGAGGTAGAGAGGACATGGCTGCTTCCTGTCAGAAATCTATAGTTGAGGATACAGCGCCCTGTTTTATTTAAAGCTGTGTCAGTGTTTGGCTTAAAGCTAGCAAGAAAATAAGACATGATAGAAAGACAAATCAGTGTCCAAATATTGTTTAGAGACTGATTTGGGACGGATAAAGTATAAGTATAAGTATAAGTATAATCAACATGATTCAGGATGTCACGTTGCAGAGCGGTAAAGAGCTTGCAGTCAGAGCAAAGATAAAAAATGTGAGATCAAAAAATGCTGACAACAGGATTTGTTAGTGCAAGAGCTGGAGATTAGGAGGTACATTTTGGTTTCGATTAGGAAATAAAAGCCTGTGTTCAGCAGGTTTTTTGGGGGGTTTTTGGTCAACAAATTAAACCTAATTACTGCATTCCATTAGGTATATAAATAATCTAAGCCACACTGGTCTAGCCTAAGTGTATTTAAAGAGATTAGGGTTATTTAAGGTATTTTCTTTTACCAATCATTTATTTCTTTAATTTAAAAAATATGGGGCTGCACAGTGCTGCAGTCGTTAGTGCTGTCGCCTCACGGCACCAAGGTTTCTGGTTCGAATCCCCCGTCGGATGTGTGGGTTAGGTTAATTAGTGACTCTGAATTGTACATACAGGGATGTAAGTGTGGCTTGTCTGTCTCTATATGTCAGCCCTGTGATGGACTGCAGAACAGTCTAGGGTGTGCCACGCCTCTTGGCCAATGACAACAGGGATTAAAATCAGAGCTATAGCTAAAGGAAAATGAGCAACACTGTTGACTTAAACTAAAAAGGTGCATCACCTGACAGTGTAGAGTTGGGAAACATCAGAGCACTTACAATATGTAGTGTATAACTTTCTACATACACGCACAAGTCAATCATTCTTATCAACAACCCAACCAGGAGGATCCCTGATCCCTCCGACTCTTATCGTGCATGTCATATAGAGCCTGTCACCCTGGTCCTCTCCCCAGCTTTAGGAGCTGTATTTATGGACTGTGTCTGACCCACATACAAAGCTCAGGAGTACAACACACAACAAAGACCAAACTACTGAATATGATCATTTGACAGGTTTATAACATTTAACATTGTTTCCATCTAGACAGTTGACTGGATATGAATATTTGTATTTTCTAACAGTTATGAAATCCAGTTTGAGTGAGGTCAATTATTTTGACTTCATAGCTGATATCATCATTTCACCTTTAAAATGGTGCTAGCATCAAAACAAATGTCATTGATGTCTTTGCTCCACAGCACTACAAGTGAAATACCAGGTGCATCTCATATAATAATACAGTCCCTGGAAGTCTTTAGAAGACATGCTCTACTCTGAAATTCAGAATAAGTCTAGCACTAAAAGTAGTTCAATAGTTTCCAGGTTCTGTTTCTCTTATTTCCTGAATGTTACCTTAAGGAAAACATTTGAATTCTAAAGACTTTATGTCAAATGTTTCAAAACAAGTGAACAGAAATGCACAGGTTCATGCACTTCCACAATCCAGAAAACTCAAAGCTGCTATTCTGAAAATGTACTCCTGAAACACTTTCACAATTTTAAATTACAGAGCTCCGCTTAAATTCATGAAATATTTTGCATTTTAAAGCTATGATGCAGAATTCCACAATAGATGCATAATCTTACTGACAGACTTATTGGCTGCAACACGAGACACAGAAGGTAACGATGACCTTTTCAGCGTCCCGTCAGACCCTGGTGAAAGGCCAATGTCTGTTCTCGCCTGGCAATGCAGTGGGGCCACAACAGAGCTCCTTTCAACAGCCCTGAGTGCGACACTGTGTGTCTATGTGTGTGTGTGTGTGCGCATGTTTGTGCAAAGCAGAGGTGGTTGCCTCTCCTCTCTGGAAAAGTCAAGGTTGGTTGCTGTTTTCCATCAGTCTGATACTGTCAGAAGGTCAAAGCTTTGTATTTCTAAGGTCACTCTGAACCAAAAACCCTGGATGATACAATTTTCAGGCTCTTGTTCCAGTTGCAATACTTTGTCACCTAAAAACAGCTACATAAACAAAAAAAACCCATGAAAGCAGACATGTATAAATAAACTTAACAAAGAAACTTAAAAAGTTTGAGTGGAAGAAAATCACTCAAACCGATCCAAAAAAAGAAAGCATTTCCTAAGATTTTGGTCATAATTTGATATAAAGGCGCTTCCAACTGGAAAGAAACAAGGACTACTTTCCACTGATTATCATTAACTTCTAAGAGGAGGTCCTTTCTGTGCTTTCCAAAACAGAAACTAAACTAAATGATTCACTTCAGCCTACTGACCACATATGTGGAGCTAACCTTTGCTGCACACACACACAAAGTCTAAAAGCCAGTGGTGGTAATGGATCACTGTCAGAAACAGCAGAAGACGTCCAGCGTGTGGACGGACAAAATCAAGAGCCAGGAAACATGAAGACACAGAAAAGTTAATTCAAACAGTTAGAGGCAGAGACGGGATGGAACATCCCTCGGTTTTTACAGAAAGTGTGTGTGTGTGTGTGTTATGCAAAGGCGGATTGATTACAAAGCCTGCCACAGAGCACACACACACACACAAAATGTAGGGGATGGAAGACCGAGGGAATTCAAACCGTGCCTGAACAATACCAATTACACACGATAAAAAACATGCTAAACCTGAGTGAACAAACTGAAAAACTAGATGTGAAAATATTTCTTTTTGCAGCCAACATTTCCAAAAAGCCACATAGCACATCTAGCTTGACACCCAACTGCTCAAAACAACAGTACGATATGGACACTGCTGGGATCCTGAGTCAAGTATGGAAAGGCATGCAGAGATATTTATCAACTGAAGTAGGAAAAAACAACAGATAATCAAATCTCCGAAGTGGAGAAACATGCAAAAAACAACAGACAACAACAGAACACGACATGTACTCCCTCTCTTTTTCAACTGCTTTCTAACAAACACACACGACACACATTCTCTCCCGGTATGTTAAACACTCACCTCGTGAAGTGTGTGTACTGTAAGCGTGTGTGTGAGTCGTCCCCTCTGCCAAAGCGCGGCGCTCCAGTGAGAGGCCAAATTCTGCTGTAGCTCTGGAAGCTCCCTGCCTGCCCCTCCCACCCTTCCATGTCAAATGACTCAGCAGAGAAGGCAGCAAGCCACGCCCATTTCCTTCCAATATCTCTCCCCTCCCCCCCCACCTCCGACAGGGCAGAAAAGCCCTCACAGTCACTACACCTCAAATTTAAGGAGAGAAGGAGTATGAAAAAGTATCGGTTTTAAAACATTTTTAATGGAATAAGCTGAAGATTTAGAGGAAAAAGAAGGCAGAGACTGTGTGTGAATATATCTACACTGATGGTGACCCCAGACTAAAAGCCAGCTGACTGTCCTTCCTTTTACCTCCAGGGATCATTTACAACCCCAATTACCTGGCCTGACCCTCTCATCAGCTCCTCCAGCTCTGTATTCATCACATCCCTCTCATTCCTCTCACACGGACCTGAAACACTCATCCCAAAAACTAGGGAGATTCTCCTTTGACTTTACATCTGCTGGTGCTTTCATCAACTCTGCTTTCCAAAACACAAACATTTGGGAGTTGTGTTTTTGATAAAGCAATTTTCACCAGGCTCTTAAATATGCAGATTGAGGAGAGGATACAGAGACATTTAATCTTTCTCTAAAAGGAGTAAATAATCATAAAAGTAGGGGTTTGGATTGAACAATACCACTAGAAAAAAAACAAAAAAAGCAAACACATCCTGACAACTATGGTGATGTAGACATGTTATATTATATTTAGTATAAAGCTATCATAACATTACAGATGAGGAAACACTCAGTAGAGATCTTCTAGAAATTGATGGCTGTTGTTTCCTGGAGCTGTATGTTTGGTCTTTTTTCTTGTCAATGTAAGCTGCCACAGACACAACATCTTAAAACAGTATTGTTGTTTTGCTGGAATTCTCTGAGTGGGATGAGTTCTCAAACATTTCCATTTCATGTTTACAGTCTTGAGTTATCAAGTGACGGGTCTATTTTGTGTGCAGACCGTCTACCGCAGGAAGTTAGTTTTAGAAGAATGTGTTCGATCACATGGTCACTAAAATTTCAAACATTTTAATAGTATGGCATCATTACAAAATGCAATCCAAATCCAAAATGAAATCTTGTGGGCAAGGAAAACGCCATTTCTAACTTAAGTATCATTTGGTATTTTGTCTGTTTTTTTCCTTCTTCATTGACTTTCAGTGTAAAAAGCTTCAAAAACAACTTATATGGGTCAAATTATTTTCTTTTTTCATGAGAAATAGATATTGTTATCTTAAATCGATGATGTAAAGCTTCATTGACCTCATAGAAAGAGGCTGTTGTCCTTGAAGCGGACGGCCTGGGTTTGAATCCAACCTGTGGCTTCTTTCCAGCACGTCTTTCCCCACATTTCAGACTCTATCCTATCTCTACAATACAGGCATAGAAAGCTCAAAAATAAAACTCAGAGGAGGAGCTTTCAGCGAGGGTTCTCTGTAATCTCCTATGGTCTATTTACATTTAAAGGATATTAAAATGATCCACCAAAAATACAAAAAAACAAAGAACATGCAGTCTTCATTTATTTTTAACCCTGAGCGCAAAGCAATGACTTTGTCAGATTACTGTTCTTATGGGGTTTGTATATTTGTGTGATTAAAGAGGAGAGGAAACAGCTGTCTCCAGGATGTGTAATTACACACACACACACACACACACACACACACACACACACACACACACACACACACACACACACACACACACACACACACACACACACACACACACACACACACACACACACACACACACACACACACACACACACACACACACACACACACACACACACACACACACACACACACACACACACACACACACACACACACACACACACACACACACACACACACACACACACACACACACACACACACACACACACACACAAAAAGCAGGACATGCTGGAAAGATGGATGGCTTTCAACTCATTATGCCGATTAGCTGCCAAAATAAACCCTCACATCAGTGTTGAATCCCTGCCACACCCAGCGCAAGAAATTAAACCACATCCATCTGAGCGATCCGAGTCATCATTATGGGCCTTAGAGATTTTGCACTATACCAATATATACACACAAGATATTAAAAAAAAACTTCACACACACATCCTTGTAAGTGTGATCAAAACCAGGTCTTACCAAATAAGGAGTTAAAATAAAGCTGTTATGCTAAGTTTTACAACATGGGTAACGGTACATTTTCCCAAACCAGGGGCCCTCGTCTTAAAACTGTCCAGTCTTTGCCTTCTCTCTTCATCTCCCTCTCTCTGAAACTCCACTCTATTGCCCAATAAAAAAAACAGTCAGTGTTTGAAAACTGGCAGGAGTTTCCAGTGGGCTTAGAAGAGAGTTTTCTGGTCTGTTTTCCCACAGGAGTTCTTTAAATAGGCAAACAAAACTGACCCATGGATGATGCACAAAAGATAACGATAGGAGGACATGCAACGTGTCACTCTAACCAAAACACAGAATACTAAAGCATGCTGAAATGAAAAAAAAAAAAAAATCCCCCCTCCTCTTGTGTTCTTACAAAGCTGTGACTCCACAGTGAACCCACAGAGTGTGCCAAGCATCATTTGTTTGATTCCACACCAGTTGGCATGCTCATTTTATTACAGAGTTGCTGCCCTTTTAAAATGAAAAAGACCTTGATTTTGACGAGACATGAGCTGGATAGACAGAAAGTCTGTGGCAGGGGCTGATGTTTCTGGGCCGTGTTGAGCCAACATGGTGTCATGTATTGGCAGGAGGAGTACAGGGCTGCCTGGCCGACCCCCTCGCAGAGTTCCACACAGCTGTCCAAAGTCTTTCATAACGCAGAAACATGAGGAATAGAAGAAGCATGACTCACTGGGTGAATCATTAAAAAAAAAAAAACTTCACTCACTGGTCTTCCTCTGCAGAGTGTTCACTATCTTTAAACATTCATGTGAAATAAATGTAGCAAAGGGACCAAAGGGAGACATCTGACATCTGTTAGGTTGATTCAACATATCATTAATTACCTTAAAGTATGTATACAAGTATGTCAAGCTGTGCTGTTAACCTGAGCATGTTGAGGTTAATCCAAAAAGACACAAAGTGAGAGGAAAAGCTTTGAGAGCATTGTTTGTGTGATGGTCTTGTGCTGCCCATGTGAAAGATGTGGGTGGAGACCACAGAGGAACTAAATGTTTCCTTTGTGTGTGTTTTTTGTTTTTTTTCCTATTTCTGCTTCTGACTTCCAAAAGCTTTATACAGTATATCAATAGATCATACAATGAGTGAACCCATTTGTGTATGCATGAGTGTCAAATGATGAAACTATGTTTCTGGTTAAAATGATCATTAACCATGTCCCGTGTATGTGTATATATACACACAAACACATAACACCTGATCTGTTATGTTCAGTCTCTCAATGTAAACTTGAGTTTGCGCTCAAAGCAGGTGTGTGAGACTAACTACCTGTGTGACAGCATCTCCTGCTGGCTGCTGACGGAGTTGCAGCAGTGCAAGCTTAAAGACTGAAAAGAGTCTTAAAACATCAGTCACACAAAGTTAACTCTTCCTCATTCTGTAGGAAAGCAAGGGAAAGGCACAGATAGACCTTTTTGATGTACAAATAATCTCAAATGACGTAGGAAAAAAGTCAATTTAACGTTTTTGTCCTGCAGAGAGTTTGTTAAATAAATCTTGAACAAAACTCGGAGGACTTCTGGTCTGAAATCATAACATTGGTTAAAACTAAACTATAATCTTTTGTTACTAGTAATCATTGTCTCTTAACACTTCATTCCTCACTCCCACATTTACAGACTCAATAAATGCACAACTGCAAATAAAAATGATCAGCTCTTTGTAATTCTACACGCATACAGCTAATAAATCCCAACATACATTTGAAGGGGGTACTACTTTGGAAAAAAAAAAAAACAGAAGTTTCCTTCCAACAGTTGTATTTCTAAACTTCCAGAAATCAGCAGCAGTGACCGTTTTTTTCTTAAGTTTCATTACTAGAGAAACAGAAACTTAAGGAGTCGACTCTGCTCTCACACAAACACAGAGACCAGACGTCCCCCGACAGCCGACCAGTGCAGCTGAGGTGAGCTCTTTTTATTTACTGCTAAGTTCTTTATTCACCCAGAAACTACTTCACATGAATGTTGTTCAGCACTTATATTCAACTTCTGATTCTAAAATCTGGCCATGTGCCTTGAGAGGATGCATTCATGCTGAATCTGTAGATAGAGATGAGGTAGATGTGGAAAATGTGTATGAATATCCTTTTGATGTGTGAAATACTACCCATGAAATTAAAATCAGATCACTGAAAGAGGAACTTTAGCTGTCTGGACCAATCGTTCTACAAACGCACAAACTGATTGAGAACACAGATTTGGGATGAATAATGACAGCTATAACTTTCTACACATTTTTACAGGATGATGAAGATTACAGGAAGAGTCGCATATTGTGTGTCTCTGCTCTTTCTTCTGAACTCTGTGTCAGCTGTGAAAAAGCTCAACTCCATCAGTGAATTGAAGAGAATCGACTTCGGCCGATCTGTACCTGCACACACTCTCGTGCTTCTCCACTGGTTCGCCCACACGATATTCATTGATGATAACAATGAAATACAGCTGACCTTCGACCCAAGAAATGGAGATTATGGCTCACATCATTTCCACAACTATGAGGCTTTGTTGGACCCTCCGCCTCAAGGTCAGCGCTACTACATTGTTGGCAACGTTGATCAACGCACAACAGTTCAGCTTCCATCTCATGTTGTAAATCCTCCAGCTTTACTTGAGGGAGGAAACAGGGACAGGATCATTATTAGAGTCAGGGGGCAGAGGATTGACCAGGTGTACATCACACAGCATTCTCACAACCAGGGGACGCCATGGTATGATCCAAACCATACCTACCAGATCAGTAAGGACCTCTTAAGACAGATCAGAGAGTTTGCTATGAGAGGAAACCAACGGACTCTGATGAGTCTTCGGAACCGGTTTGGGAGCAACGCTGATGTGTCCACCATCAGAAACACATGGGGGAACCTCGCCTGCCTTGGACTGTTTTTGTGTATTGTGATGAAGGGACATGTCTACTTTCAGGAACAAAGCAGAAGACCAGAAAGTAGTAACAGTCATGTATCTACTGGGAACAGAGTGTCAGGCATTAAGCCCACCTCTGAATCCAGAAACAACAACCAGTGCCTGTGCAACCGTTTGCTTATTGTCCTCTTCATCATTGGTTTACTTTTTATGTTCTTCCTCAGCAACAGAGGGCAGAGGGTCTTTTGAGTTTAAGTCCAATTTAGTCAGTCGTTCAACTTCATTCAGACTAGAATCAGTGATCAGCACATCTTATTCATAAGAGGAAGTGATCAGTGGTTTATACATGTTTGTGTTGTGTTGAAATATCTGCATTAATTAAACTGAATTATCCGTCTGATCAATGTCAGAGTTTTTATTCTAAGATCAAGGAAACCAAAACACAAATGAGCACAGAGATCAGAATATATACCATGTGTCATTAGATTAAAGAACCAGTAGATGTTGGATCACACATTCTTTTTTTAATTGCTCAAACTGTTCTTATTGTTAGAGTGGCACGATGTAATGGACCTACCATTTTATCTCTTTACTGTAATGTCTTGAAAATCCTTTTTAACATTCTTGCACATCATTTCAACTTAAAGAATTCTTAAAGGACAAATATTTTCTCTAATTTATGGGTTTATTGGACATGTCAGCATAAACTTGACCTGGTGGACTAAAGACATCCTTGGTAACATCCTTAATAAGCCAGACTCTCAACAACTAGTAGTGCCTCACCAGTGTCAAAACTTGATCTGCATGCCAATTAAAATTATCAGATGACTCACAGGTTTCCTCATTCCTTCACAATCATTCCACTCTTAACTGCAGACAGAAATAATCTTTGCATTTCTACAAGCACATTACCTGTTAATCCTGACAAACACTTTAAGGGAGCACTATTTTCTCTGAGAAGACAGTAAAACATCAGCTGTATTACAACACTTCCTGTTACACCGGGCAGTGTCTTTTTTTCCTTTCAGTTTCATTTCCAGAGAAGCCGTAACTTTGGGAGTTTAACATTTGTCACAGAGACAAAAAGAGCAGACATCTCTCGGCAGCAGGTCGGCACAGGTGAGCTCTCATTTATTATTGACTGATTACTAGTTTTTGGTTTTCTTTCATGTCAGTGAAACACAAATCTAACATTTTATAAAGGTTGTAACTTTAACAGAAAACATTCTGTTAGAACGGTAAAACATTTTAAATAGATACAGAACAAAAGGAAACATTGTTGTAACTGGATGCTTTGTTTTCCTCGTCATTGTCACTGGGGGGATATTTTGGATTTAAAAACATTTGTATGTTTCAGTTGTTATGAAGTCCATAATGGCTAAGTATAAATAGGCCTATAATTGATCATTTTGCTTGTTTTAAACACATAGTTTGGTTGTTTTGAATTTTAAGATTTTAATTGTTGAATAGGTTTTTCTTATATTTTCTTGTAAATAATCAAATCGTATTTGATTTACGTTAGAAATAAAGATATCAATCAAGAAGTTGGTTATGAAATTAACGAGCAAAACATGTGGACTGACGTTTGTTTTTAAGGCAAACACTAATCTCACAATCCATCGCCTGACAATGATAAATGCCTTCTTTTACAGTCTGACTAGCTGAAGTGGGAGTTGAAAAACATTAGCTTGCGGATTGTTTACTGCACTTGCATGCTGATGTCTCCTCAAAGACATTAAATAAAGCTAAATCATTGATAGATTGCATTACAGCAGATTGCCTTTATGCTCTGGACAGTATCATATCTAATTCTAATATTTAAGTCGGCTAAATTAAATATGTTATGGTGTCAATTTGAAACTCAAAGTAAATAAACTGTTAAATCAAACAAAAACAAACTGTAAAGTAAATAAATCAAAAAACTGCTTTTGATTTGTTGAAGTCAGGTGACGAATTGAGATTTGCCCCCCTCCCCCCACTGCCTGAGGCTAATCATTTGATGCATGTCTGGTCAACACATGAATTTAAAATGTACAGAATGGATGATAACTGAAATAACTTTTCTAATGTTTTCACAGGATGATGAAGATGGCAGGAAGTGTCGAGTGTTGTTGCGTAACTCTGCTCTTTGCTCTTACCTGTGTGTCAGCTGTTCAAGTGCTGAATTCAATCAAGAATTTAAAGAAACTTGACTTTGGACCATCTGTACCTGAACACAGTCTGGTGCTGCTCTACTGGTTTGCCAACACAGTTATCATCAATCATAACAATGAAATACGGTTGACATTTGACCCAAGAAATGGAGATTACAGCTCACATCCTTATTACAACCATGAGAATTTGTTGGACCCACTGCCTCGAGCACAACACGACTACACTATTGGAAATCTCAATCAAGGCACGTCAGTTCGACTTCCATCTTATGTTGTCCATCCCCCAACTTCGTTTGCGGTAGGAAATATGGACAGGATCATAATCAGAGTCAGGGGAGATAGGATAGACCAGGTGTATCTCACACAGCATTACAGTGGTTATCACCACCATGGGACAGAATATGATCCAGCTCACACCTACCTGATCACAACGAACCTCTTAAGACAAATCAGAGAGTTTTCTATGGGAGGAAACTACCAGTCTTTACTGAATCTCCGAGACCGCTTTAGAAGTAATGCTGATGTTTCCCTCATCAGAAACACATTGGGAGACCTCGCCTGCCTCGGACTGTTTTTGTGTATTGTGATGAAGAGACAGATCGACTTTCGGGAACAAAGCAGAAGACCAGAAAACAGGAACAATGATGAGTCGAATGAGAACAGCAGTCCAGTCAATAACTATGAGAACACAGGTCAAGTCAATAACTATGAGAACAGAGGTCAAGTCAATAACTATGAGAACAGAGGTCTGGTCAATGACTTCACAGAAGAACCCCAAAACGAAGACCAATGCCTGAGCTGTAGAACGATTTGTTTGGCCCTCATTTTCGTTGTGATTTTATTAATTGTAATTATAACTCACATAAAAAATTTCAGTTAACATTAAGAAACAGATTTATTTTTGTAAGCTCCATAAAGCTGAGACTCTTTGGGATTGAAGTCCTATAAAGCCAGACACTGAACTTTATTCAGACTAGAATAAGTGATCACTACAACCTGCTTATCCAAGACAGGAGGTGATCATTCTTTTTTATCATTAATTGGGTTTGTACAGGTGCACCGACTGAGCGACAGGTGACTGAAAAAATGAATACCAGCATGTCACGCCTTGTGAAAATCAGAAATGAGAATCAGCCAAAGAAACTGCAACCAGTGCATCTCTAATTGAATCAGTGCCACAGAGGTCAAAGGCCACAGGTTTTTATGTCAGACACTGAATACATTTGCTGTTAATGTCTTTTTCTGTTATTTTTCCTGTCCTGAGAAATTACAATAGATCAAAAATAGTATATATGTACCATTAAGGACTAATTTTGTCAGAGAAAGAATCCAGTGATGGAGTTCTTGGAATTACACTGTAAAGCACACAGGGAGGCCATGTTTAATACAAATTATAACTGAGGAGGAGCATTCGGTGGATCATTTGACAGAAGGACCCAGGGTGTGATGAGGGAATGATTAAATGTACTATCAAATACCAGGAAACATATAAAGTAGTCAAATATTAACTCAGTACAAGATAATATAATGTTATGATTCTACTCCTTCTAGGCTCCACAGGATGGGCTTGAAGACAAGACAGAAATGCCAAATATAAAAACATAACTCTGGAGTGATAAAGGAAGGGGTTGTCATGGCTTCCTAAGTAATCCTCAGATAATGGAAAAGAACGTCTTCTTCATATTTTATAACAGGGATAGAATCTATGTTAGAAATATTGTCTTATGAACAAATGTTGGCTAGAATCAATGATGTAGGTGAGAACCTAAAGAGTTCATGGGGTCGCTTTCTTGCTGTAATGAACTGTTTGAATGACTGTGGCTGCTAAATGTTTCTATGCTATGTGCAACGTATCACAGGCCTTTTGGATCATTTGTAACAAAGTGATGATATGGTTTGTTTGTCCTTTAAATAAAAAATCTTCAATGATTAAAAAGTACATAGACTGCATTTTTGAGGAGCCTTTCCTGGCTTCTAACCGCTCACACACATTCATACAATAATGTAGTGCCATGCAACACTACTGAACAGCCAATCTGTCGCACACATTCATTCACTACAGGCTGTGACTTTTTTACATATCATGCAGGTCTATACTACAACCAGTAGCTCCTCAGTCTGGAGTAAAAACTAATAGTAAAATCTGGACCTGCACTGGCTTGTTTCCATCCTTAACCAGCCCATAATGAGAAGACTCAGACGATGCACAGATTTCCTCCTCCCTTTGAAGAATTACTCATTGAATAAATGTAAAAAAAAAACAATCAGCTTTTTGCATTTCTACCAGCACAATGCAGGCGATCACTTTCACCTGAAGGGAGTACTACTTCAAGTGTTTCAAAGTTCAAGATTAAGTTTCATTCAAACTGTTATCAAACTGCTGTTAACCTCTAGACACACCTCAATTTAATTTCCATAGAAACTGTAACAAAGGGAGTTTTGTTTGCAGTCACACAAACACAGAGAGCAGACGTCCCTCTGCAGCCGATCAGCGCAGGTGAGCTCTCTTTTTTAACTGATTGACAGTTTTTGATTCACCAGGAAACTAATTCACATACATGATTTACAGCAACTGACTCAAGCTTCTTTGACTTTTTCCCTACTGTTACTACAACTATTTATTTGTAGAAAGAAAAAAAAAAAAGGTCAAATTTCATACAAAATAGTTGTACATTTGGAGGATGTTCAGGTAAACTGATTAAGCTTCATATTCAATATATAATAAAATAATTCCACAGAATGCAGACTGTCTTCCATTTCTAACACAGAGGCATTAAAAATCCCTTGAAACGTCATACTAGTCTGTACTCTACGATGGTTTCTTGAACGGTTCAAACCTGCAGCTCAAATGAAGCACAAACTTTATTCTGTTTAAGAAGTTCTAAGAAACATTTAGAGTAGATAGAGAAAAGAGGAAATACTGAGACGGTGTTTCTGCAATAAATAAAGAAAAGAGGACATACAGTGACTGCTGGGTGAATTTTATTTCCCTGCTACTGACACGGGGACATATTTGGCTTTTTGAAATACTTGTAACAATAGTTATTATTATAATTACTTTAGCTTTTTTATTAAAAATGTATTTTGATTGGAGATTTTAAGCAGGGGCAGATTAAGCAAACTATTAAAGCCGGAAATCCCTGAGTCAGCCAATTGAAGATTGACCAGGTTCATAAAAGGTTTATTTAGTTTTTGTATTGGGGTGTTAATCGTGTAGAGCCTTAAGTCTTTCAAACTTTATTTCCAACAAACATGTGATATAATCACTGGGAGGTAGATACGGGGTCGTTTGTAACTTCTTCATTTTATTTTTAGGATCCGGGCACCGAATGTACAAGGATTTTTGTTTCCTCATTCCTTTGTCTTGGTAAATTGGAAATTTGGCAGTTGTGATGTGCCCCAAAACTACTAAAAAATGTTCACAATGTCAAGATTGTGAAAGGCTCTTATTACTTAAGTCTGCCAATTTGACTTCATTTTTAAAATAATTCCCTTTTTAATCCACTTTTGAAACAAACTCCTCTTAGGTGATTTGTTCGATCTTCCCCCAAATTACAAATGTTGTAGACACATTGCAAAGTAACAGTTATCATAATAGATGTATTATTTTCAAGACTGAGAGTTTCTAATATTTCAATATCTTTTTAAGTTTAGAATTAACAAATCATGAAATAAAAATGACTACTGTAAAGCACATGGATTTGATGTGTATGGAGCTGATGATTAGTAACAGTGATAACTTTTTAAATGTCTACAGGATGATGAAGATGGCAGGAAGTGTCGAGTGTTGTTGCGTAACTCTGCTCTTTGCTCTTACCTGTGTGTCAGCTGTTCAAGTGCTGAATTCAATCAAGAATTTAAAGAAACTTGACTTTGGACCATCTGTACCTGAACACAGTCTGGTGCTGCTCTACTGGTTTGCCAACACAGTTATCATCAATCATAACAATGAAATACGGTTGACATTTGACCCAAGAAATGGAGATTACAGCTCACATCCTTATTACAACCATGAGAATTTGTTGGACCCACTGCCTCGAGCACAACACGACTACACTATTGGAAATCTCAATCAAGGCACGTCAGTTCGACTTCCATCTTATGTTGTCCATCCCCCAACTTCGTTTGCGGTAGGAAATATGGACAGGATCATAATCAGAGTCAGGGGAGATAGGATAGACCAGGTGTATCTCACACAGCATTACAGTGGTTATCACCACCATGGGACAGAATATGATCCAGCTCACACCTACCTGATCACAACGAACCTCTTAAGACAAATCAGAGAGTTTTCTATGGGAGGAAACTACCAGTCTTTACTGAATCTCCGAGACCGCTTTAGAAGTAATGCTGATGTTTCTTACATCAGGAACACATTGGGAGACCTCGCCTGCCTCGGACTGTTTTTGTGTATTGTGATGAAGAGACAGATCTACTTTCGGGAACAAAGCAGAAGACCAGAAAACAGGAACAATGATGAGTCGAATGAGAACAGCAGTCCAGTCAATAACTATGAGAACAGAGGTCAAGTCAATAACTATAAGAACACAGGTCGAGTCAATAACTATGAGAACACAGGTCAAGTCAATAACTATGAGAACAGAGGTCGAGTCAATAACTATGAGAACAGAGGTCCGGTCAATGACTTCACAGAAGAACCCCAAAACGAAAACCAATGCCTGAGCTGTAGAATGATTTGTTTGGCCCTCATTTTCGTTGTGATTTTATTAATTGTAATTATTACTCACATATAAAAAAAATTTCAGTTGACATTAAGAAACAGATTTATTTTGTAAGCTCCATAAAGCTGAGACTCTTTGGGATTGAAGTCCTATAAAGCCAGACACTGAACTTTATTCAGACTAGAATAAGTGATCACTACAACCTGCTTATCCAAGACAGGAGGTGATCATTCTTTTTTATCATTAATTGGGTTTGTACAGGTGCACCGACTGAGCGACAGGTGACTGAAAAAATGAATACCAGCATGTCACGCCTTGTGAAAATCAGAAATGAGAATCAGCCAAAGAAACTGCAACCAGTGCATCTCTAATTGAATCAGTGCCACAGAGGTCAAAGGCCACAGGTTTTTATGTCAGACACTGAATACATTTGCTGTTAATGTCTTTTTCTGTTATTTTTCCTGTCCTGAGAAATTACAATAGATCAAAAATAGTATATATGTACCATTAAGGACTAATTTTGTCAGAGAAAGAATCCAGTGATGGAGTTCTTGGAATTACACTGTAAAGCACACAGTGAGGCCATGTTTAATACAAATAATAACTGAGGAGGAGCATTCGGTGGATCATTTGACAGAAGGACCCAGGGTGTGATGAGGGAATGATTAAATGTACTATCAAATACCAGGAAACATATAAAGTAGTCAAATATTAACTCAGTACAAGATAATATAATGTTATGATTCTACTCCTTCTAGGCTCCACAGGATGGGCTTGAAGACAAGACAGAAATGCCAAATATAAAAACATAACTCTGGAGTGATAAAGGAAGGGGTTGTCATGGCTTCCTAAGTAATCCTCAGATAATGGAAAAGAACGTCTTCTTCATATTTTATAACAGGGATAGAATCTATGTTAGAAATATTGTCTTATGAACAAATGTTGGCTAGAATCAATGATGTAGGTGAGAACCTAAAGAGTTCATGGGGTCGCTTTCTTGCTGTAATGAACTGTTTGAATGACTGTGGCTGCTAAATGTTTCTATGCTATGTGCAACGTATCACAGGCCTTTTGGATCATTTGTAACAAAGTGATGATATGGTTTGTTTGTCCTTTAAATAAAAAATCTTCAATGATTAAAAAGTACATAGACTGCATTTTTGAGGAGCCTTTCCTGGCTTCTAACCACTCACACACATTCATACAATAATGTAGTGCCATGCAACACTACTGAACAGCCAATCTGTCGCACACATTCATTCACTACAGGCTGTGACTTTTTTTACATATCATGCAGGTCTATACTACAACCAGTAGCTCCTCAGTCTGGAGTAAAAACTAATAGTAAAATCTGGACCTGCACTGGCTTGTTTCCATCCTTAACCAGCCCATAATGAGAAGACTCAGACGATGCACAGATTTCCTCCTCCCTTTTTAGAATTACTCATTGAATAAATGTAAAAAAAAAAACAACAATCAGCTTTTTGCATTTCTACCAGCACAATGCAGGCAATCACTTTCACCTGAAGGGAGTACTACTTCAAGTGTTTCAAAGTTCAAGATTAAGTTTCATTCAAACTGTTATCAAACTGCTGTTAACCTCTAGACACACCTCAATTTAATTTCCATAGAAATTGTAACTAAGGGAGTTTTGTTTGCAGTCACACAAACAGAGAGCAGACGTCCCTCTGCAGCCGATCAGCGCAGGTGAGCTCTCTTTTTTAACTGATTGACAGTTTTTGATTCACCAGGAAACTAATTCACATACATGATTTACAGCAACTGACTCAAGCTTCTTTGACTTTTTCCCTACTGTTACTACAACTATTTATTTTCAAGACTGAGAGTTTCAACTATGGGAATATGTTGGACCTGCCTCGAGGATACAAGTACTACACTGTTGGAAATCTCAAAGACAACATACTGAGGCCACTTCCGGATTATGTTGTCAATCCCCCAACGTTGCCGAACGAAGAAAACAGGGACAGGATCATATTTAGTGTCTGGAATCAAAGGATCAACCAAGTGGACATCACAGAGCATTATGTAATTTCAGACAACCATGGGACTGAATATGAGCCAAATCATACCTACCACATCACAACTAACCTTTTAAGACAGATCAGAGAGTTTTCTATGGGAGGAAACTACCAGACCCTGTTGAGTCTCCGCAATCGCTTTGGAAGTAATGCTGATGTGTCCAGCATCAGAAACACATTGGGAGACCTCGCCTGCCTCGGACTGTTTTTGTGTATTGTGATGAAGAGACAGATCTACTTTCGGGAACAAAGCAGAAGACCAGAAAACAGGAACAATGATGAGTCGAATGAGAACAGCAGTCCAGTCAATAACTATGAGAACACAGGTCGAGTCAATAACTATGAGAACACAGGTCGAGTCAATAACTATGAGAACAGCGGTCGAGGCAGTAACTACACCTCAGAACCCGAAAACAACCACAAATGCATGTGGTGTTGTATCATTTTTTCGGTCCTCATTTTCATAGTGATTTGTATTGCAATTGGTGTGTACTTTTTATTCGGTTAAGATTAAGAAACAGATTTTTTTTGATTTTTTTTTACGCTCCATAAAGCTGAGACTCTTTGGGATTTAAGTCCTATAAAGCCAGACACTGAACTTTATTCAGACTAGAATAAGTGATCACTACAACCTGCTTATCCAAGACAGGAGGTGATCATTCTTTTTTATCATTAATTGGGTTTGTACAGGTGCACCGACTGAGCGACAGGTGACTGAAAAAATGAATACCAGCATGTCACGCCTTGTGAAAATCAGAAATGAGAATCAGCCAAAGAAACTGCAACCAGTGCATCTCTAATTGAATCAGTGCCACAGAGGTCAAAGGCCACAGGTTTGTATGTCAGACACTGAATACATTTGCTGTTAATGTCTTTTTCTGTTATTTTTCCTGTCTTGGAAAATTACAATAGATCAAACACAGTAAATATGTACCGTATGACCAGGTGTACATCACACAGCATTATGATAATACTCACAACCGGGTGACGCCATGGTATGATCCAAATCATACCTACCAGATCAGTAAGGACCTCTTAAGACAGATCAGAGAGTTTGCTATGAGAGGTCTCTGATTAGTCTTCGGAACCGTTTGGGAGCAACGCTGATGTGTCCACCATCAGAAACACATGGGGGACCCTCGCCTGCCTTGGACTGTTTTTGTGTATTGTGATGAAGGGACATGTCTACTTTCAGGAACAAAGCAGAAGACCAGAAAGTAGTAACAGTCATGTATCTACTGGGAACAGAGTGTCAGGCATTAAGCCCACCTCTGAATCCAGAAACAACAACCAGTGCCTGTGCGACTGCTTATTGTCCTCTTCATCATTGGTTTACTTTTTATGTTCTTCCTCAGCAACAGAGGGCAGAGGGTCTTTTGAGTTTAAGTCCAATTTAGTCAGTCGTTCAACTTCATTCAGACTAGAATCAGTGATCAGCACATCTTATTCATAAGAGGAAGTGATCAGTGGTTTATATGTCAGCATAAACTTGACCTGGTGGACTAAAGACATCCTTGGTAACATCCTTAATAAGCCAGACTCTCAACAACTAGTAGTGCCTCACCCAGTGTCAAAACTTGATCTGCATGCCAATTAAAATTATCAGATGACTCATAGGTTTCCTCATTCCTTCACAATCATTCCACTCTTAACTGCAGACAGAAATAATCTTGGCATTTCTACAAGCACATTACCTGTTAATCCTGACAAACACTTTAAGGGAGCACTATTTTCTCTGAGAAGACAATAAAACATCAGCTGTATTACAACACTTCCTGTTACACCGGGGCAGTGTCTTTTTTTCTTTCAGTTCCATTTCCAGAGAAGCCGTAACTTTGGGAGTTTAACTTTTGTCACAGAGACAAAAAGAGCAGACGTCTCTCGGCAGCAGGTCGGCACAGGTGAGCTCTCATTTATTATTGACTGATTACTAGTTTTTGGTTTTCTTTCATGTCAGTGAAACACAAATCTAACATTTTATAAAGGTTGTAACTTTAACAGAAAACATTCTGTTAGAACGGTAAAACATTTTAAATAGATACAGAACAAAAGGAAACATTGTTGTAACTGGATGCTTTGTTTTCCTCGTCATTGTCACTGGGGGGATATTTTGGATTTAAAAACATTTGTATGTTTCAGTTGTTATGAAGTCCATAATGGGTAAGTATAAAAAGGTCTATAATTTCTAATTTTGCTTGTTTTAAACACATAGTTTGGTTGTTTTGAATTTTAAGATTTTAATTGTTGAATAGGTTTTTCTTATATTTTCTTGTAAATAATCAAATCGTATTTGATTTACGTTAGAAATAAAGATATCAATCAAGAAGTTGGTTATGAAATTAACAAGCAAAACATGTGGACTGACGTTTGTTTTTTAAGGCAAACACTAATCTCACAATCCATCGCCTGACAATGATAAATGCCTTCTTTTACAGTCTGACTAGCTGAAGTGGGAGTTGAAAAACATTAGCTTGCGGATTGTTTACTGCACTTGCATGCTGATGTCTCCTCAAAGACATTAAATAAAGCTAAATCATTGATAGATTGCATTACAGCAGATTGCCTTTATGCTCTGGACAGTATCATATCTAATTCTAATATTTAAGTCGGCTAAATTAAATATGTTATGGTGTCAATTTGAAACTCAAAGTAAATAAACTGTTAAATCAAACTGTAAAGTAAATAAATCAAAAAACTGCTTTTGATTTGTTGAAGTCAGGTGACGAATTGAGATTTGCCCCCCTCCCCCCACTGCCTGAGGCTAATCATTTGATGCATGTCTGGTTAACACGTGAATTTAAAATGTACAGAATGTACAGAATGAAATAACTTTTCTAATGTTTTCACAGGATGATGAAGATGGCAGGAAGTGTCGAGTGTTGTTGCTTAACTCTGCTCTTTGCTCTTACCTGTGTGTCAGCTGTTCAAGTGCTGAATTCAATCAAGGATTTAAAGAAACTTGACTTTGGACCATCTGTACCTGAACACAGTCTGGTGCTGCTCTACTGGTTTGCCAACACAGTTATCATCAATCATAACAATGAAATACGGTTGACATTTGACCCAAGAAATGGAGATTACAGCTCACATCCTTATTACAACCATGAGAATTTGTTGGACCCACTGCCTCGAGCACAACACGACTACACTATTGGAAATCTCAATCAAGGCACGTCAGTTCGACTTCCATCTTATGTTGTCCATCCCCCAACTTCGTTTGCGGTAGGAAATATGGACAGGATCATAATCAGAGTCAGGGGAGATAGGATAGACCAGGTGTATCTCACACAGCATTACAGTGGTTATCACCACCATGGGACAGAATATGATCCAGCTCACACCTACCTGATCACAACGAACCTCTTAAGACAAATCAGAGAGTTTTCTATGGGAGGAAACTACCAGTCTTTACTGAATCTCCGAGACCGCTTTAGAAGTAATGCTGATGTTTCTTACATCAGGAACACATTGGGAGACCTCGCCTGCCTCGGACTGTTTTTGTGTATTGTGATGAAGAGACAGATCGACTTTCGGGAACAAAGCAGAAGACCAGAAAACAGGAACAATGATGAGTCGAATGAGAACAGCAGTCCAGTCAATAACTATGAGAACAGAGGTCAAGTCAATAACTATGAGAACACAGGTCGAGTCAATAACTATGAGAACAGAGGTCAAGTCAATAACTATAAGAACAGCGGTCAAGTCAATAACTATGAGAACAGCGGTCAAGTCAATAACTACACCTCAGAACCCGAAAACAACCACAGATGCAAGTGGTGTATCATTTTTTCGGTACTTCATTTTAGTAGTGATTGGTATTGCAATTGGTGTGTACTTCTTATTCGGTTAAGAAACAGATTTATTTTTGTACGCTCCATGAAGCTGAGACTCTTTGGGGTTTAAAGAGTCCATATTCTGCCCTTTTTGGGGTTTGTATATTTAATCTATGTACCTACTTTTGTACGTTCACAATAGCTAAAGTTCGAAAAAAGTGTCTGTTTTCATGTACTGCTCCTCCTTGCTCCCTCTACGCTCTGAGTCCTTCAGCTACGCTCTGTTGAGCCCACACTGTTAGACCCCACGTGGGCCAAGTCTGCTCTGATTGGTCTGCCGATCTGCTCTGTCGTTATTGGTCAGTTGCTCAACACGCTTGTCGGAAATTTCAACATGAGCTGCAGGGCTTGCCACAATGAGCTTAGATCAGTGATCTCACACTGACAATGACGCTGCACTGACAAATTTTTATCGAGGGGGGCTAAAACCGAGCGTTACATGCAGCTAATGCTACAGCCAACAGGAGGACGAAGGAGAAGCCGCGTTTCCGTGGACTTTGAATTTTTGCAAATAGATGTGCCTAAACATGCACAGGACACTTGGAAAACACACTAAAGAGCATATAAAACCAGAAAAAGCATAATGTGGGACCTTTAAGTCCTATAAAGCCAGACACTGAACTTTATTCAGACTAGAATAAGTGATCACTACAACCTGCTTATCCAAGACAGGAGGTGATCATTCTTTTTTATCATTAATTGGGTTTGTACAGGTGCACCGATTGAGCGACAGGTGACTGAAAAAATGAATACCAGCATGTCACGCCTTGTGAAAATCAGAAATGGGAATCAGCCAAAGAAACTGCAACCAGTGCATCTCTAATTGAATCAGTGGGCACAGAGGTCAAAGGCCACAGGTTTTTATGTCAGACACTGAATACATTTGCTGTTAATGTCTTTTTCTGTTATTTTTCCTGTCCTGAGAAATTACAATAGATCAAAAATAGTATACATGTACCATTAAGGACTAATTTTGTGGAGTTCTTGGAATTACACTGTAAAGCACACAGGGAGGCCATGTTTGATACAAATGATAACTGAGGAGGAGCATTCGGTGGATCATTTGACAGAAGGACCCAGGGTGTGATGAGGGAATGATTAAATGTACTATCAAATACCAGGAAACATATAAAGTAGTCAAATATTAACTCAGTACAAGATAATATAATGTTATGATTCTACTCCTTCTAGGCTCCACAGGATGGGCTTGAAGACAAGACAGAAATGCCAAATATAAAAACATAACTCTGGAGTGATAAAGGAAGGGGTTGTCATGGCTTCCTAAGTAATCCTCAGATAATGGAAAAGAACGTCTTCTTCATATTTTATAACAGGGATAGAATCTATGTTAGAAATATTGTCTTATGAACAAATGTTGGCTAGAATCAATGATGTAGGTGAGAACCTAAAGAGTTCATGGGGTCGCTTTCTTGCTGTAATGAACTGTTTGAATGACTGTGGCTGCTAAATGTTTCTATGCTATGTGCAACGTATCACAGGCCTTTTGGATCATTTGTAACAAAGTGATGATATGGTTTGTTTGTCCTTTAAATAAAAAATCTTCAATGATTAAAAAGTACATAGACTGCATTTTTGAGGAGCCTTTCCTGGCTTCTAACCACTCACACACATTCATACAATAATGTAGTGCCATGCAACACTACTGAACAGCCAATCTGTCGCACACATTCATTCACTACAGGCTGTGACTTTTTTACATATCATGCAGGTCTATACTACAAACAGTAGCTCCTCAGTCTGGAGTAAAAACTAATAGTAAAATCTGGACCTGCACTGGCTTGTTTCCATCCTTAACCAGCCCATAATGAGAAGACTCAGACGATGCACAGATTTCCTCCTCCCTTTGAAGAATTACTCATTGAATAAATGTTAAAAAAAAACAATCAGCTTTTTGCATTTCTACCAGCACAATGCAGGCGATCACTTTCACCTGAAGGGAGTACTACTTCAAGTGTTTCAAAGTTCAAGATTAAGTTTCATTCAAACTTCTGTTAACCGCCAGACACACCTCAGTTTCATTTCCAGAGAAACTGTAACTAAGGGAGTTTTGTTTGCAGTCACACAAACACAGAGAGCAGACGTCCCTCGGCAGCCGATCAGCGCAGGTGAGCTCTCTTTTTTAACTGATTGACAGTTTTTGATTCACCAGGAAACTACAATTTACAGCAACTGACTCAAGCTTCTTTGACTTTTTCCCTACTGTTACTACAAATATTTGTTTGTAGAAAAAAAATAGGTCAAATTTCATACAAAATAGTTGTACATTTGGAGGATGTTCAGGTAAACTGATTAAGCTTCATATTCAATATATAATAAAATAATTCCACAGAATGCAGACTGTCTTCCATTTCTAACACAGAGGCATTAAAAATCCCTTGAAACGTCATACTAGTCTGTACTCTACGATGGTTTCTTGAACGGTTCAAACCTGCAGCTCAAATGAAGCACAAACTTTATTCTGTTTAAGAAGTTCTAAGAAACATTTAGAGTAGATAGAGAAAAGAGGAAATACTGAGACGGTGTTTCTGCAATAAATAAAGAAAAGAGGACATACAGTGACTGCTGGGTGAATTTTATTTCCCTGCTACTGACACGGGGACGTATTTGGCATTTTCAAAAATACTTGTAACAATAGTTATTATTATAATTACTTTAATTTAGCTTTTTTATTAAAAATGTATTTTGATTGGAGATTTTAAGCAGGGGCAGATTAAGCAAACTATTAAAGCCGGAAATCCCTGAGTCAGCCAATTGAAGATT